TGGATGTATGTACAATCCTGTTATACCCAACTGATAATACATATAAGATGTTCAATAATAGGCAAAAAGGAATGACCGAGTGGACAGTTGGAGGACCTTTCAACAGAAAGGGAAAAAGAGGAAAATGTCTGGTGGTCTGAAGCCACCAAAACTTAAACAAGAAAAACGCTTATAGCTGATTGTGTCTCTACATCCCTTTCTCTTGTTCGTAACTTGCTAGCTTGTACCAAACACCATTTCGTTCATTACATAACTGACTAATTTTGTGTCATGCAGTAGTCCAACAAGACTGGAAAGAAAATTAATGGTGAATATAATGGCAAAGAGACAAGACAGGGATGACATAGTGCAAGTGATGCAGTATATAAATTTTTCACACTTACACTATTTTCCACCACACAAGTCTTATGCTGAGTGTGCTCCCTGGTATATAATGCTACCAGCACATGTCACTGACAGCTTTTTGTTGTGAGTTGTAACTACTGTATTATTGCGTGACTGCATAGCCTGAAAAAGTGAAACTAAGGTTGAAGAAGGGGAAAAGACGCAGATGCCAAGACGGGTAATGCGGGTTGTGGAAGAGAAATCTGATGCAGACGGTGGAAACGCAGAAGATGTGGATTCTGAAGAAGAGACTGACTGAACTTACAGTATCTTCCAGTTCTACAGTACTACTTTTCACTCGCTTTGCATCAGTCAGTATGTAAAAGTGGCTTCAATTATAGGTCTTGTGTGTTGGCTTGATCAAGCAATGCAAGTGTGGCCTTTGTCTAATGTACTACTGCATCACATGCACAAGGTCATCTCTGTCTTGTCTCTTTGCTTATAAGCCATCCCTTTTTTTAATTTTTTTCTTATTCACGTGCATTGTGTGGAATAAACAGTGCATGTTATTGGGGTATAGCATTAGTGGCCTTATGCCTGAGAGTGGAATTTGGTTTGATGATGCCCCATCATTGTATATACATCAGTGTACCATTTTCATGGTAAGAAAGGACCCAGCATTAGCTATAGCCACTATTGCCTGAGGCTGTTTGTTGTTACAATTATTTTCTTGTTCTTATGGTATGTAAGTGTACCTTGTTTCATGGTAATAGGACCCAGCACAACTACACTATAGGCACAAGCACAGTTATTGTTGTCTAAGGCTGTTTGTTGTTGTTTACAAGCTTGTGATTTTGGTTTAGATGAACTCTTATCATCAGTTTTCCAGTGTACAAAGTTTCGTTGACCAAAATGGCAACAAACACACCATTTATGCATTTTTGCCTTTGGTGTTTGTTATTTGATGAACCTACACCATTTACAAGTTTGTACTGCCTAAGGGTGTTTGTTGTTGTTTACAAACTTGTCATATTTACATTTTGAAACTAATGATAGGTAGTATGTGTACAATTGTTTATCATAAGTTACAGTTTATTGATTTATGGCCTGGGGCTATTTTTTGTTTATATACATACTCTTGCACAATCTGTCATGGATTCCAAAAGTGTCATCTCCTGATTTGGTTGTCGAACTGAATAAAGACGGTAACAAGAAGAGTTTTGAAAACTAACTTTCTTGAATAAATCAATGACCAATTATGCAATTTATTGGGTTTGTGCTTATTTTGACCATACGGATCAGACTGGTATGTCAGAAGTAGGATCTGATTGAAACTGAAAGTGAAGTATGAAAATCTGAAATGTATGGGCATGATGCAGGACACATTCCTTTATTACTACCATACATAGTGACATTGGCAAGCCCCACATATAGTCGTATATTATTATTATTGTGACCCGCACATGCCACTGTACATGGTGCGTGAGTTTCAGAGTTTTTATATTTTTTCTATGAGTTTATTGGTCCTTTGAGGCTTTCTATTTTTCTACCGGCTGTTGTTTTTATCCTGTAGCTGTCGTTTTTTTGTACATGATTTCTATCTATTTATTTTCTAACTATGTGTAAGGTAGAGTTGGACGCATAAAAGACTCTTTAACCTACCGCCCCGGTTCTCAAGGCTGGGCACCCAGGCCTCTTTCTTTCTGTTTATATAATATATGTTACTGTCTGTGTTTTTGTGTGCTTGGGTATGTTATTTTGTGTGCTTGGGTGGGGGAGGTTCTTTCTTTTCCTCTAATATTATTCTAAACATGTTTTTTCATGTTCTACGTGATTCTGAATACGTACGAAACATGCACGAAAAATTGAACTAGCTCGCCAAAAATATGTTGCATTCGCTCAAGTATACCCACCCCCACTCCCCCGCTGGGGTTTTATGAAGAAATTATGCTGGGCATAAAGAACACTGTGGGAACCGAATTTATGTGCATTGCAGGAATAATTTCATCTGCACTAGTAATATTTATGGTAAATATCGCTAAGTATAGTAGTACTTAGTATAAAGGTGTTAATATGGACAATGTACATTTGTTGATGCGTACACACAGGCTTATGCACATTAATATTTTCACCACACAAGTTTTCAAAGCCATGGAATTACTGTAGCTCTAGGAGTTTTAGCTTCCTGTACCGGCTCATTGGTTGTGGTTACAGGACAGTCCTTTCTATAGAGTGTATGCCAGTTCTTTTATCTTTTAACAAAGTGACTACAACATTGGGCTCATGTGGTGGAAAATATGCAATGAGCTAGTTATGCCTGTGTATGTAGCTTTTACATACCACTGCATACATGGCAAGGAGTTGGGCGTCTTTGGTGGTTGTGGTGTAACTGGAATTCCTCTTCCTAGTCATTCCTGACTGTGCCATACATAGCACAGTGGTTTGAGGTGTTGAATATTCGAACTCGTACCAGCTCAGTTGCCCTGGTAGCTCAATTGGTAGAGCACTCGCCCAGACTACAGAATGTCGTGGGTTCAAATCCCATCCAGGGCAGCTCTTCTTCTCTTGTTCCAAAAGAAAGAGCTGTCCTGGGTGTAGTTGACTTGTTTGCCTTACCTTACCTTTCTGCCTCACTACCAAGTTGTTGAGACATGCATCAGTCATCATCATCGTCTACTTACTCTCGGATGTACCAAGGCAGTGACTGCTGTCATCATGTCTAAGGTTTCAAAGAGGAGGCACAGAGCATTAGCCTCTTATGGAGTCCTCAACCCATTATTCAAGTGAGAGAGAGAGCAGAGAGAGAGAGAGAGAACAATAGCAGAGGCAACTCATGTGCGGAGTAAAATGTACGCGGAGTAAAATGTACAGGTAATTATAGTCTCCGTACCAGCCCCTCTCTACCTTCTGAGAGGGACTGGTACCGAGACTAAAGAAAATGGTTTTGGATTCTGGCTTTTTTTAACAATACCTAAGGTATTATGATAATTATTGTGGGAACCACTGTACTATAGAGTTGGAGGAAGTCAAGTCGCGTCGGAGTATATAGGGTTAAGTGAAACACTGAGATCTCACTGGCCGGTTACATCTCCCCCATACTGCACATGCGTGTAGAAGGCCTGTCACGCGAAAATTGGGCTGGACCGTCCACAGCAGAAAAATCTATCCCCCCTTAGGACCGTCTGCAGCACCGCGGAGGGTCCCTCCGATGGTCCCCCTAGTCTAAGCTTAGTTTGCATACCTACCAACCATCCAGCTTTTTGCTTGATAATCAAGCAAAAATACTCCCTATCCCACCAGAACATCGCCAAATCCCCCTTTTTTGTGCTAACCTGTGATGCATCATGCCCATACATTTTGAATGGACACGCAGCATTTTCAAGCAAATTTGACACATTTCTCAAGCAAAGGTTTATCTGCAGGTTGAGTTTGTTTGTTTGGTACAAATAAGCTGCCTATAAGCCCTCGCTGCTATAGCAAGTATATACACTGGCTTGCTGCTATCAGCCAGCAATTGGTCGTCGATCTGCGCCGTAAATGCTGCTCGTGTGCATAGATGTTACGGAATCTAATTTTTTTCCACACAAGGCTAATACACAAATCGTGAAACCAGGTGTATCATTTTCCCTTTCTGTAGAGTAACCCGCGGGGCGACGACGTGAATGCAGCAGCGAAGTGAAACGGGGAGAAGACGTAGCTGTGTAGCAGTTACCGTCGTCGGAAAAGGCATTGTGACGCGGCTCACTCAGTGACACTCAAAGATGAGACACGGGTTCGCTTGCTACTTTCTGGTGGGGGACCGTGTGTGGCGGGGAGAAATTACGGACGTTCCTGGGGGACCGATTTTCGCGGGGGGACCATCGGCGGCCTACTCATGCATGAAGACTGGCCTGAGGCAGAGAAGATCGAGCAAAGGGTCATCGTCTGGAGTTCCCCGTGAAAATAACCTGCGCCTTAACCGTAAAGATGATGCTGTCACTTCATTGAAAGCTTCGCTAAGAAGCCTAAAATCAAAGTTACCGATTGCAGACGATGCCCTGTGGAAGAATTCCATAGAGACAGTTACGAAAGAGCTACTGCAAAAGAGAAAGACAGCGAAGAAATGTAGTGCTTTGTGCAGGAAAGGATTCAAAGGACTAACAGTAGTGATGTGTTTACTGTTGTTGATTGGTGTTTTCCTATATCTTTACAAGCCAGCCTCCTTCTTTTTGAAGCGGAAGCTCCATTCAAGGTATGGTCCACGTGTGTTAAAAGAGCAATTTAACATTATTTTAATGCAGGCTTTACCCCATATCTCGTTTGGTCCGGAAAAACCTCTTGGTGCTTCATCCATACCTACATCGCCTTGGGATCAACCTGTTCAGTTCCTGTATCTTGAAGAACCCTTTTATCTCCAGTGACTCATGCCGTAGTGCTAAGGACGTGTAAGTATTACAAGTAAATTTTGGGATGGCAAGGAGACAAACAGGGATGACCTAGTGCAATAATACAATGGGTAATGGCTACATACTTTGAACTAACATCGCTTGCTCATGTAAAATGTTCTCCACACAAGCCCTATATTATCACGAGTTATGAGTGTGCTCCTTTAGCTATGATATATTCCATAAGCATGTTAGACAGGTGAAGCCACCTCCACAGTTTTCAGTTGTGATTGCAGTCTAAGACATCTACATTTGCTCATCTCACCAGTTTTACGATGCTGCGTTCTTGGCCATCTACAGAATCCCTTCACCATTGTCCTTGCACTTCACTAAACAAACTCATGTCAGTGAGTAAAGGTGGCGACATTGTAGGGCTTGTGTGGAGGAAGTTTTGTCTCCTTGCTTTTTATACCATTTTCACCCTTTTGAATTCTTGTCTCCTTTCCTTTTTCACATGCATGGTGTGCATTTGGGGCATAATGCCCATAAAAAGTAACATTTGCGACCTTAAGCTATTGCACATCAGTGCACCAAGTTTCATTGTGAGAGGACCCACCATAAGCAAGTTATAGGCACAAACACCATTTACAAGTTTTTATTGCCCAAGGCTGTTCGTTTTTGTTTACAAATTTTTGTTTTGATGAACTCTCATCATGGTATAATTATCAGTGTACCAAGGTGGCGACATTCAGTGTACCAAGTTTCATTGTTAGAGGACCCACCATAAGCAAGTTATAGGCAGTTTAATTGCCTGAGACTGTTTGTAGTTGTTTACAAATAAATTTCTGTTTCTTCATGGTATGTACATGAGTGTACCAAGTTCCATTGTTAGAGGACCTACCATAAGCAAGTTATAGGCGCAAACAATAATACAAGTTTTTTTATTGCCTGAGGCTGTTTGTTGTTGTTTACATACTTGTAATGTTTACATGTTGAGGGTTGCATGTGTACAAAGTTTTATCAAGTTTTATCATTCTGGTTGTTGGCATTAACTACTTTATTGTAGCCTGGGGGCTATTTTGTCGTTATTTTGTTGTTTACATGTAAACAACATCGTTTACAAACAAATGAAAATGTTCTTGCACGCCGGGTCATGGATTCCAATCTCCGTGCAAAGTTTCATCTCCATATTTTACCTGGTTTTGAGATACACTTGTCTAAATTGAACAACAACAAGAATTATTTTGGAAACTGACTTTCTCAAGTAAATCAATTACCTATGATGAGATTTAAGCCATTTCTTGGGTACATGCTTTTTTTGACGATACGGATCAGACTGATATGTCAAAAGTGGGATCTGATTAAAAATAAAGTGAAACATGCAGATCTCAAATATATGGGCATAATAGGACAACCGGTGTCATCCCTAATTCTACTGTACTTAGTGATCATTACCTCAGCTGTGTACTCATTCACCCCTGTCAGCAAGGAGTGGTTCAGTGAGGGCCAAACTGTGCCTAGGTACATCCTTGAAGCAGCCAGGAATGGAGAATGGTGGATCATAAGATCTGCACTAAACATCTCGGAAGAGGTAATTTGTTGACATACAGTGGTTACTGTGGTCTTCATAAGTATAAATATGGTGCACTGCTAGGCAAAGCATTTCTTACTGCAGGAGAGCAACAAAAGATGTTAGAGTGTAGCAAAGCAAGCAGCTCAATATTTCGCGCGTTTTGCATGTATATACTTAGAATAATGTAGAACATTACAGCATGTTTGCAGTGTCTGTGGCATATAAATACAAGAAATTCTTTGAATTGTAAATTTAGGGATGACAAGGAGACAAGACAGGGATGACCTATATAGTGTATAGTGTGATGCAGTAGCATAATGGATAATGGCTACATATTTCGAACTCACATTGCTCACTCATGTAAATTTTGCTTCACACAAGCACTATATTGTCGCAAAGCATGAGTGTGCTCCTCATAGAATGACTCAATTTCCTAAGTGAGTGTGCGACAGCTTTCTTCAGATGAGGACGAAGTTTTTGTCTCATTCGATGTGGTGTCCCTCCATTTACTAGGATCCCGGTCCCACTGGCCCTTGAGGTAACAAGACAACACCTCGAAGCAGATGACACCTTGGCTGATCGTTCAAGCCTTGCAGCAGAGGATGCGTTGCAGCTACTTTCGTTGTGCCTAAATGCCACCTATTTTTCATTCCGTGGAACATTCTACCACAAAATATTTGGTACAGCCATGGGCTCACCAGTTTCTGTCGTCGCCGCAAATCTCGTTATGGAGCACGTTCAGGAGTTAGCTCTGTCGTCGTTTCCGCCAGTAGTACGGTTTTCGAAGTGCTACATTGATGATGTGTGTTGTTCACTTCCCAAGAACAAAGTGCCAACCTTCCTTCAACATCTCAACACCATCCATTCAATTTACATGTGAGATGGAGAATGACAATCTCCTTCCTTTCCTCGATGTACTTTTGGTCCAAAACAAAAACAGGTTCGATTCCCACAAGGGTTTATTATAAGCCAACACATACCGGTCAATACCTTGATGTCTCCTCTCACCATCGTGGCAAGGACTCTTAAGAGTCGTACTGTGGCACTCTCCTCCTCTCTTGATGCAGTCAATGAAGAGCTTTCCAACGTTGTCAAGGTTCTGACAGTGAATGGCTACCCGAGGTTTCTTAATTAACAGCCCCCGGGGATCCTCATCTGCATCTTAAGGAGGTAGTCAGAAACCAACCTCCACCATGCACCATTGTCACCCCTACATTGTTTTTCTGAGGCTGTAAGGCGACTTTTCCAATCCTACTCTACGAAAACAGCTGGTAAAGGATCCCTAGCTGTTATTGACATCAAATGTTGTGTACAGCATCCCATGTGTAGGTCTTGTTCAGATGTTTACATATGACAAACGACCGTCTGCTGAAAACTAGAGTGGATGAGCATAAAGCAGCAGTCAAATATGCGAATGGCAACGTTTCCGCAGTTGCTCAGATTGAGTTTCAATCGATCTCTATCCTTGCCTATGAGTACAAGCGCCTAATACTGGAGTCATGGTTTATACGTAAATCATCAACTTTCAACAGGGAGGCTGGGTCGTGATTTATATTTATATATCTGTGCTCTAGTTGTTATTGATGTTTAGGTCATTTATTTTTTGGACTTTTTCATTTTTATTGCCTTTTTATTGCACTTTTCCTTTCTCGTTTCTTTTTGCCCACCTTCCTGACCTCCTGGATACAATGGCACTTGTTTCTTAGATACAGTGGCATTTGTTTTCATTCCTCTCTAGCCTGATTATAAATAGTGGTTGTCACCTGTTGTATACTCATTTCACCACTGGAGAGCTCCTCAGTTTTCGGTTGTGACTGCATTGTGAGACTTCCATGTTCACTCAACTAACCAGTTGTACATTGCTGCGTTCTTGGCCCTCTAGAGAATCCCTTCACATTTATCCTAACACTTACAAATTTGTGTTGTGAGTGAAAGTGCCAACAATATTCTGGAGGAAAATGTACATGAGTGAGTAATGTGAGTTGGAGATATGTAGCCATCATCCATTATACTACTGCATCACATATTATTATACTAAATAGGTCATCCCTGTCTTGTCTCCTTGCTTTTTATACCGTCCCTATATTCACTATTTTTAATTTGTCTAGTCTCCTTTTCCTTTTTGCATGCATGGTGTGCAATATAAGTTTGGGGGGCATAATGCCCATCATAAAAAGTAGCCTATGTGTTTATTGCCTCAGACTCTTTGTCGCTGTTCACATGTTTCTTACACCACGAAAGTACATAAGTGTACCTTATTAGAAGACTCAAAATAGACCAAAAAAACATTTACACAAGTTTTGATTGCCTGAGGCTGTTTGTTGTTGTTTACAAACTTGTAATATTGATACTAATAATAAAGGGTTGCATATGTGTACAAGGTTTTATCACTCTGTGTATTGGCATTAACTTGTTAGCACAGTTTATTGGTCTCTATCATAATGTATGGCCTTGGGCAACACTGTTTACAAACAAATTAAATGATCTTGCACGACTTGTCATTGATTCCAACCTTTATGCAAAGTTTCATCTCCATATCTTACCTGGGTTTTGTTGAAACTGAACAACAATGAAGAAACACTAAGTGCAAACCTCGGCGAACTGCGCATGCGCGGTACCGCTAATTAATGGGCTGAGCTATTAGTATGTGGTATTCATGCTACATAGTAGCTCGCAGAGAGTCTGACACAGGGTAGCTACACCAGTAGATAGCATGCGGGAGTCGATACACGCCCTTCGTTGTGACTTCTTGTGCCTTCAAGATTCACAGAGCAAGCGGACCACTCGGGGTAATTTAGCATATTGGCTTTTTTCTCGTGTTTCATGCACATAACTCCCGAGTGCAGCAGTTTCAGAGAAAACCCCATATGTACGTTTTGACCTTTATCCGACGCTGAATACGTGGTATCGTTTTGGAGTGATTAATAGCTCGTGAAGTGGTATATAACGGACAGACAGAAATGGCAACCGTAACCCTCGCAGCATGCACACCAGCATGCGCACCACGACGATGAGAAGAATTTTGAAAACTAACTTCCTTGAATAAATCACTTACCGATTATGTGATTTGTGATTTAAGCCCATTTCTTAGGTTCATGCTTTTTTTACCATACAGATAAGACTGATGTGTCAGAAGTGGGATCTGATTGAAACTTAATGTACAAATCTAAAATATATGGTCATAATGCAGGATAACCTGTTTCATCCCTATATACTAAGTACCTCCGTACTTTGTGATATAGAAAATCCCGCATTCAAACAACTAGGTAGGTTTGCTTCACTCGCCAATTAATGTTTGCAAAGGAAGACATTGTAGACAATTATATAACCTTTGAACTCACAAAATTATACTGTCAAGGGTTTCGAATCTCATAACAATCTCATAGTTCGGTGAGAGGAGCCTGGGGTCAAGGTTACTATTTTTCAGTTTACACTTCAGCACCTACACCAATTTTCGGTGGAGAATAATGGACAGCTACCTACTATTTGTGAGCAGATAGTGGGTGGCGGAGAGGACTCTCAAGCAACTGCTTTTTATACTGATTTGTTTAATGTGTGGAGGATGAAAGAAGCACTAAAATCTACTGTTCCGTGGAGTTTATCGTGGTTAGTACACATGTGAAAAGAGAGAGAGTGAAACGAGAGTGAAAAGATGGTGTGAGAATGCCTTCTTTCAGAGTGTGTCAAAGGCATGACTACTGCTAATTGATCTGTTGCACTGTATCTATAGCCATTTATTGCTGTAGGCTTGAATGCCCTGATGATGCCAACTCACTCAGTGTCCGATCACTGTTTCCTTCACCTTCCTACCTTCCTCAACATGTCACTGTTTCCAGTAAAGCCTTAATCTCACTTTCTACAGAGTGGTGCATCACCTTCCACTATCAGGTAAAGGTAAATCAAAAAATTCTTTGTGGAATATAGGGATGCCATAAAAACAAAGGAGACAAGACAGGGATCGCTTGTTCGTGTAAAATTTCTTCCACACAATCCCTATACTGTCGGGAAGTGTATGAGTGTGCTCCCTTGTATGATGCACAGCTATGATTTATATCATAAGCACATTAGACAGGCAATACTATCTACTCGGTTTTCAGTTGTGACTGCATTGTGTGAAGTCTACATTTGCTCAACTAACCAGTTTTACGATGCTGCCTTCTTGGCCATCTACAGAATCCCTTCACCATTGTCCTTGCACTTCACTAAACAAACTCATGTCAGTGAGTAAAGGTGGGGCTTTGTGGAGGAAATTTTACACGAGCAAGCGATGTCAGTTTGAAGTATGTAGCCATCATCCATTGTACTACTGCATCACGATCACTAGGTCATCCCTGTCTTGTTTCCTTACTTTTTATGGCATCCCCACATTCCACACTTTCTTAATTCGAAGAATTTTTTATTTACTTGTCTCCTTTCCTCTTTTTTACTGCATTCACATGCATGGTGTGCAATAAAAGGGGATATTTTGGGGCATAAGCCCATAAACATTAGTGGCCTAAGCTATCGCCTCAGACATTTTGTCGTCATTCACATTACATCAGTGCACCAAGTTTCATTGTGAGAGGACCCACCGTAAGCAAGTTATATGCACTGAGACCATTTAAAAGTCTTTTTTCCTGACGCCGTTTTGTTGTTGTTACAACCTTGTAATTTCTGTTTCGATGAACTCTTATCATGGTGAATCGGTGTACCAAGTTTCATTGTTAGAGGACCAACCACAAGTAATTTATAGACACAAACACCATTTACAAGTTTTTACTGGCTGAGGCTGTTTAATTTCTGCTTCGAACTCTTATCATGGTGAATCAGTGTACCAAGTTTCATTGTTAGAAGACCAACCATAAGCAAGTTAGAGGCACAAGCACCATTTACAAGTTTTTATTGCCTGAGGCTGTTTGTTGTTGTTTACAAACTTGTAATGTTTACATTTTGATACTTATGATGGGTTGCATGTGTACAAAGTTTTATCATTTTCATTTTGGATGTTGGCATTAACTAGGTATCACACTTCATTGGTCTGTATGGCCTGGGGCTATTTTTGTCGTTATTTGTTGTTTACATGTAAACAACATTGTTTACAAACAAATAAAAATGTTCTTGCACGCCGTTCATGGATTCCAATCTCTGTGCAAAGTTTCATCTCCGTATTTTACCAGATTTTTTTAGCTACGCTTGCCTACAACAACAAGAAGAATTTTGATCAGTCTGATATGTCATAAGTTGGATCTGTTGAAACTGAGTTGGAACTGAAAATGAAACGTACAAATTTCAAATGTGTGGGCATAATGCAGGACAGCCTGTGACATCCCTATACCTTACTTAGTGATTATTCACGTTGCAGAATGGGCTCCCATCTACACTGCTGAATTTGATTGTGATGAAAGGAGAGATTAGAGTAATACCAGTGATACTGGAGAAAAAACACTGTCAGGAAATGCATAGACTGTGGCAGAAACCGTTTCTTCTCAAAGAAGGCGATGCAGGTGAGATATGACACGTAAAAGCAGAAATCCATCGCTTGCTGCAAATTCATTTCCAAAAGATCATACCGTGCGTAAATCAGATAGTCAGTAAAGAAATCATTACCAGAACAAATGTCATGCATTTTTGGCGAGCGAAGTGAGCAATTCAATATTTTGCAACATTACGGCATGTGCAGTCCGTCCATTAGATACTATATATATAATCCTGTATGGAAAAAATCCCGCATTCAGATGACAAGGGGAAATAGTTAATACAACAGTTGTTATAGGCAGTCCACATTGTGAGCAACGCCCCTGCCCCTTCCATATTAACCCTCGCAGCGAGGGTTACTGTACTTGGTTTGTAAGTCCGTCTGTCTGTCTCTGTCCACGATTGCAACAAAAAGAATACTAGCGCATCAGTTTAATGAATATAAAAAAGCCGTTTCCCCTAATATTTCCCTAAAATCACTTACCTGAAAAGTTAGAGTTTACGGCGGCAAGGTCCGCCTTTTTTCGTGTTCCTTCACATTGGCATTAGTAGAGAAATGATCGCATTGTTCCGCATACTGCCTAGTTAACCCAATGGTCCGAGTTCGATTCTTGCTGGAGTATAGCTAGCTAAGCATTATTTTTTACAAATTCCATGAGCTTTTTGCTACACTGCATGCTTTCTAGCAATGTGCTGGTTCTGCGCTGAGGGTTTGCACATTAGTGCTTTTCATTATAATACTCAGAAATCCATCTCCTTGTACCCAAGTGTAGGTATGCCTCTGTGTATCTTTTATGCAGTGATACTGGATCATCAGCATTGGAGTTATGAAGTTACCACATGGAGTAGTTACTCTATATCTTTGACTTTATCCATCATTCCCTCAGAACATACAAATGAAAATTAATTTAGGCTTTTGAAAAGTGATGATTGCTGTTCAGATCAGTTTAGGCTGGTATTTGTGTGGTCCTATTATGAAAAATGAAAAATGGTTATTAACACTTGCCCTTGTTTGGCGAACCGAGCAAGCTAAATAGCTATGAGCAACAACAAACAAAAACAAACATTTGGAACTACGTGTCTCAATATGTATGCTGACGAGGACAATGTAAGTGTTACATTTTTAAAAACACCATTTAAAGCACTAGGCTGTCTTTTTCTCCGCTTGCCAAAAGTTGTCATAATATGCTTCAAGCATAATTGAGATGTATTCATGCACACTGTGTCACAGTACGAAGTAATACCTGTATTGCATTTTTGGCGACCAAATGCTAGAGTTACTGGTGCATGTAGTGATTGCGAAATCTTAGTGACATGCAATTAGAATCATGTAGGACCTGGCAGATTACCTTTTCGGGTGGTACCACTTTGTCTTTGTCATTACCACGAAATGAAGAGTTTCTTTTTATTTTGATGATTCTTCTATTTGACATGCTCTCTGGGGTTGTTCTTATATTCAATGCCTCAATGGGCAGAGCCCTAGGTGCCACCACACCAGTCCCTTCTATGTCTATTCTCTTTGTGGCTGGGGCATTACTGTCATCACCAGTGTACTCCCTGAGTTAAAATAAAAGCAGTGTGCGTGCTGATATCCGATTTTGATTTATGTACAACGACTTACCTCTTTCTAGTCCTATTATCACAGTCCATACCAGTTGTCCAGGTGTCACCAACTTCAACCTCTTCACGCCTTCGTTTTCTCCTCCAGAATCTGTTTCTCTGTGTCTTTGGCTGTATATGAACTCTAAATAAGTAAAGAAGGCCTTCTCGACTGCGTGTTGAGTTCGGGTATGCGATATTCATCCGCGAGAGGTGAGCCACCAGTGTCTCGGTTGCCATACCTTCGGGATTTTGTAGATCACCGTCAGCGTAACTCTGCTTCTCTACTACTTTGGTTAGTAGTTCAATATCCATGTGATCGATCGAGACAAGGTCTGGCTTGCATCGCTGCTTTCCCCAAGCTCTTCTCTTGCGCTTTGTAATGCCACTCCCATCTTTGATCGCGGCCATGTTGTTTCTCCAACTGCGCATGCGCAAACTATTACCAAAAGCACGTGCTGGTGTCCCTGAAAAGAAGGATGGGGTTTGAGAAAGTAAGTTCGCTGCCTTCCTTACCGCGCGTGTCTTAAGAACCTTCCTTGCGTGTCCAGCAAATCCTGATTGATGGGTCAGGACATCTACTTGGCCGCTTAGCATCAGTCGTGGCGAAGGCCATTCTACAAGGTGAGGTTGAGTAGGAAGGCATGTAATAATTTAGTCCGTTGCAGCATTGTGTGGGTGAGGTGAAATGTTCATTTATATCTGTCCAGGACAAAGAATCGTGTTGGTGCGTTGTGAGGAAATCAATATTAGTGGGAGTTTCTACAGGAACAAATGTAAGATCGTGCTTGGTTTACACCATAACCAAGAAGTATATTTGTGTTTTTTTCAGTGAAGTACCTGAAATTCCTGAAACTGCGTTGCAATGTGAAACCATCGCGTGGTCCTTTTCATCTCCGGGCTCCGAGCCGGATATTCTGGCGCACTGTACGTGGTATGATCCCACACAAAACGAAGAGAGGAGCAGAGGCATTGAACCGACTGAAAGTCTATGAGGGCATACCTCCACCATATGACAAGAAGAAGAGAATGGTGGTACCTTGCGCCCTTCGTGTTCTTCGTCTTAAGCCTGGAAGGAAGGTGCTTATTGCTCATGTACACATCAATTTAGACCTAATTAGCTGCTCCACTTTAAGTATAATTTCAGGTGTCCCCGTAGTATTCCCATACAGTCAACCATGTCACTCAGCCGTGTATGCGAAAAGAGAAGCTGGGTAAAAAAATTTTACGTACTTTGCTAGTACAATCCTTCTTGTACTGAAAAAATATTTTTTTGCGACCCTGAGTAGCTTTCAAGGAAGAGACAAAGTTTTTACCATACTACGCAAAGCTTGGAAAGCGCAAAACTGTTTTACGCAAAGAGCGAGCAAACTAAGAAAGTCTGTCCTCGCCCTCCCATTTACGAGGTCAAGTTTTTTTTGGGCCTTGCAGGTTTAAGGACACAATATTTGTGACCGTGTACGCGAAAACCAGGCATTTGGTCGGGAGAAAATGTTTCGAGTTTTTGCGCTCTAAAATTTGATGCACAACACCGGTTACGTGCGGATGGCCCACGCCCAGTCGACGAGGACTGGCGGTGGGGGCAGTTGAGGGCGCTGTGAGGGCCCCCACAGTCCGAGCAAACGTGGGGGAAACGACACTGAGTGAAACGGTACCGATTCGCATTGAAGCTGCGACACACTTCCAAGGAGCTGGCGGGGGCTGTTGCTGGGGCCGGCAGCTGAGGCGCCGGCGCATATTGAGAGGGGGCAGAACCTTGAAACCATCCCAGTATTGGGGGGTTTGGGTTGTGGGGGCAGCTGGTTCCACTGTGGTCATCAGACAGGCAGTGGGGGCACCGTGGAATCGAGCACGCTCGGCCTGTAAAGGCTTCGTTATAGAGGCGGGTGTCTGGTAGCAGCAGCCCCTGCACACGCTGCAGAGTGCCTTGCGGCCGTCGGGCATACCCCCCCAATCACCGGAGCGTCCACACGGTAATATATACACATTTTACACAGAACAGACAATAGAAGAGTATGTGCAATAGAGAGTGTGAAGTGAAGGATTGTCTACTGAGGGATTTTGTGAAGAGCCCTGGCTGCTGGTTCTGTCTCTAGGCTGACTTCCTAGATTTCTCGGGGTAGCTACTCCTCCTCCGGAGGTTTCGTGAACCGTCTTTTTCTCCACAGCTGTATGGGAGCAGCAAGCCTCCCACTTGCTCCTGGCTCCTTCTTGGATGGCACAATGAAGGTGATGCCTTTGTAGAATGGATCAAGTGCAAAAAATGACCCATTCTGTTGGGCCCACCGATGGAGGCGTGCATTGCAGCTGTTGACCCACGAGAGCACTTCTACTTTCCACCCAAGCATCTTCACACTCTCAAGAGTGAACCGAAACCCCTTCCCCTCCACATACCCAGCCCCATCCCCAGTAAAGGGGATCCCTGGTTATTGTGCGTTATGCAAGTGTGAACTCTGCCTCACACACTTAGAGAGGACCAGGAACAAGACCAGGGGTCTAAGTACATAGCAAAATGCTTCGTGGATATCAACTTCTGTGGTGGGTTAAACATTTTTATCAAGTGAATGACAAGGTATGGTAATACACAGTGAATGACAAGGTAGTACAGGTAATACACGGTAAGTGGCGGCGATCGGCGATCCCTGGCGCGCGTGGCGGCGATCTCGGCGCTGAGTATCTCTCTGATGGACACGAGCTGCGCGGGCGTGAAGGAGTCGTCGCCGCCTGTCGCCATAGCCACAGCTGGAGGGACGAGAAGGGGAGAAGATATAGGGGAGGAGGATAGCGCGATGGTTGAGTAGACGAAGGATGACACCTCGCGGCGGTCTTGCCACGCATGTGGCAGGCAGGAGAGGAGTGAGGAGATGACTGACAACCAGCGGAGAATGCCGTAGGGCGTGAGACGACTTTGAAACACTAGACTTGACAAACTGACGCAGTGACAGCAACCGTAGCCAACTAAACGCGTGCAGTACTGACACCTTTCCACGTGGACATGCCGTGCGCATGTGCGACCGTCGCACATGCGCACATCCTGCTGTGATGCCGTGCACCCTGGCTCTCCTCGTTAACCACGTTTAATATCCTGTTAAACTACATGCAGAAGTATTTGTCCAGAAGGAATCCCAGTGTTACGGCTATCTCGTACACGTCATCAAAAAGCTCGCATTTACACACCTTCTCAATGCGGAACACGTCTTTCTTCTTAGTGAAAGCAAAGACAACCACCTCTTTGCTCAGCACTACTCCAACACAGTTCCTTTGGCCTGGTCGCCACAAACCGAGCACCTGGTGCACCAACTCGTTCGTTCCTCCCTAAAATTTCTCGTCTCCTCTCTTCACCTCGCACACCAGCCCATTTTTCTTCAACTTCTTATGGAGGAGGACAACATCACTTGTTGATTCCGTTTCTAACCGTTTTTTCCCTCCTGCAGCCAATACATGGAGTGCCCAGGTTGGGAAATTCCCATGCCAGTACTGCATTCACAGATTAGGTCGGGGGTGTGGCAACAAAGAGCCTTTAGGAATGTTTGGACTAGCTTCTTTCCCCATGAGTTGTAGAACCCAAACTGATCTGTGCACTGCTTTGCATCCTGAAATTCTCTTACATAAAGTTCCAGGTTCTTCACCTACGGAAAGGAAGGCAACAGAAAAAAGCAAGCACAAAAAGGAATCAGCAACACTAACTTGAGCCCCCTAAAAGGTTGTCATAGCTTGCTAAAAAACAGTAACACCATTGCAACTTTCCACTCTGGTGATACAGCTACCATGCATGCATTTGCTGTACGTCCCATAAGTGCCATTGACAACCAAGAATGTATGGACCCTCTTATGCATGAAGAGTGTTACTTCGGTACAAAGCCCTCCTTAGAGTGTTGTTCCAATAGTGTGCAGGAAAACACAGGGCAAAGCAGTTCACACTCACCACCTCCATCCAGAGTGGAGGTACAATTGCAGGGTAGAAATCTTCCTCATCTTGCTCAGGGTCGGAGTCAAACCTTTCCGTCTGCACTGGCGAGGTGAAGAACCCCATGAACTTCTTGCCCTCTGCGGCATCTTGGAGTATTGCTGCCATTGTGTTGAATTTCTCTTCACCCGATGTCCGGGCTACTGGAGTCCTATGTGTCTCTACAGCAATTTGCGCACTCTCCACTACTCCACCTGCTGACAATGTTAGCGTATTCCGCCTTGTCTCCCACCCAGCCGAAGCAACTGCAGGAAGGACACTGCAAACTTTATGTCTTTTCTTCGAAGGAGTAATGGGCATTTTAGCCTCTCACTGTGTCGACTCTCCAGTGTCCCTCTCTTTGTGTCGACTCATCGGATTTGCCCTGAAGAGTTTGAGAGAGATTTTTAACGGGAGTCAAAAAACTCAAACTTAAAAGTTTTAGGCGGCACTTTAACGCTTATAATGTACAGGTTTTGATATTGGTAGTCTCCTGAATCAGAGTCTAATAAATCTATGTGACTGCACTGGTCATCAGGGGAGTTCCCCATTGTTCATCATGCATTACATTTTTCAAGTTTTTGCGCTCTAATAAATTGATGCACAACACATAGGAAATTCCCCACTTCGAGGGCAGCAGTCTCATTAGCGTTCAGTTTCAAATGCTGTTCTGCGCTTAAGGGGGGTGTTTACCATCGCTGATGAATAATTAATAAGATATTTTCCATGCTTTTAATGCGTTTAACCAAATGAATCCTTTACCTTTCCTCTTTATTTTGAATGCACTATACTATAACATGTTGAAGTTGAGTGTTCATCACTTCTGACTGGGTATATACACATTACACTTCCAGCACCTGTAGCTACAGTGTAGGGAAATACCCACTGCTACTTTAGCACACTTATGGGTGGCCACAGAGGTATGCAATGAGTGTAAAAACATATTTTTAGCAGACACAACACAGGATATACAGTATTATAGTATCAGTACAGTAGCATCAAACGTACACACTTACATTGGATCACCATGTGCTTATACTAAACCAAAATAATGAAGTCTTACACTCATTGCACAGAACATAAAATTGTCTTTACAATGGTATGTAGAAAGTTAGTGTTCCATGAAGTATAGTTTTTTTTGGGGAGCAAAACAGACAGTTTTTGGGAAAAGGGCAAAATAGTTCAGAACCCACCTGGAGAGTAAAAAAACTCCCTCTTGCTCAGTAAGTCTCTCTTGTGCAGACTTTCTTTGTGTTCTCTGGGCTTTCCTTCTTTTTGATGCCTCTTCTTCCTTCTCTTGTGCTCTCTGGAGCCTAATTGCATCTTGATCCCTGAGAAAGGCTACAGTACTTGAACTGACGTATCCTCCAATCGACTGGAGTAGTGGCTGTAGACCAACCATTCCGTCATTGAATGTGATTGTAGCACGTTTTACAGCTATGTTGACTGTTCCAGGTGAAGCAAACTCAGTTTTAGGGCATCGATTCCAGATAGTACTATTGAAACTCTCATTCTGGTTCTGGGTGGCTCCAAGAAGGCACTTTTCAAGGAGTTCACGGCTAGAAAGACGGCTAAATACCGGTTTTACATGCTCTGCCAAATCTGCAGGGATCTTTGGATTGTGTGGAGGGGGCGAGAGGGACCGCGCTATTGCTTGCTGGTATTTGCACCACGACTCTTCTCCCTCTGGACAGTACTGATGCTGCGGATGCTCATCAGTAGACACGGAGTGATAAAATATTGCCCAGATCGACCGTTCCATTCCATCTAAATCGTTTCGATTTCCACGAATAGCACCACCATAGTAGATTTGCAACTGATCAATCACCTTGTCAGTTAGTCGACCCCTGCCTCCGAACCTGATAGGCTTACCCTTAGAATCCCTTTTTCCAGACTTCTTCAAATTTCGAAGCTGTGTGCCGAGTCTCTTCTGAACATGTCCGACACACTCTTTCTTCTCAATTACTACATCACCATAATTATGGCTTGTTGTCATTGAGGTGCTTGATTGTTTTCGAGTCTCCATCAAATGTTACCTTGGTATACCGCAAATTCAACTTTTCGATCGAGCGTCGCCATATTTTAAGTGCTTCATTAGCCTCCATTGCCGGCGAAGAGCCTGTGTAATTGATGGAGCAAACATCTTTGTGCACCTCCCACCATTCCTTGTACTCATTAGACTGCTTGTCCATTTTCTCACGAGCACCACATTCACTGCAATACTTGGTTAGGATTTCGCAATCCAAAAGTTGGCCTCTGTCCCAGGATGCGACGACGACAACCCCGTATAGGGCAGTAAACCCTCGTTTGGACCAAGTACCATCACATGTAACAGTAATATCTAAAACTTCGCTCTGATGAATGCCATGCTTATGATGAAGGTAAGCAGATGCTCTCCTTTGACTAGCCAAGGCAAAAGCCAACCTTACGCCACAATTATTCATTTTGAGATACGTGCGTTTTCAGCGAGTACGGTCTACTTTGTTTATTTTTGGCTTATTGGCTATGAGTGAGTTATAGGGCCTATATAGCTAGAGGTTTTTAAACGCTGAAATATACTTTCGCTAGCTGCTCGAGCTCTCCAGAGGTGGCTATGTCGATCGGGGCTGAGACGGAGAGGATAGATGCCGAAAGGTAGCCGGACTTCTCCTGAGACGCTAAACTATACAGTCCAAGTGAAAAACGCCTACAGGCCGCTGTCCGAGATCGTGTGGTAACTAGGCATAGACAATGTTACAGCTGTGTGACGCAGACAAGTATATGGAAACATTACATAGGTTGTGTGTGTAGTAAAAATTGCTAATGCTAGCATTTTTGAGTAGGCTTCCAATAAAAAGCCTCCATCTCGCAAATGGAACGGTTGTTCACTTCGAAATTTTCTGCAATAGTGCAAAAAGCAGCCACGGTTAGTTTTTGCGAGCATGGTCAAATTATGTATATATGTGTCAGCTACATTTCATGGAACAGGACATGTAGGAAATTTTGGTTCCAAACAAGTTGTCAAACTAACACCGTAGAACGCGCACAACGCAATTGCGCACATATGTGTGAATGCGTGCACAAATTCTATTTAATACACTTTTTCTGATGAAATGTATGGGAACTGAACTCATGAATATATTAATGAAGCATTAAAACAGCCTAAAAAGTAGGCACTTGATGTATGCAACCAAAGGTGTCCAAACATAAATACCATGATTGGGTTTCTTGTGCGTGTTGATTATCTACATATCTTTATTTTATAGTACTGTGTATTGGGACGACTCTCTCATGAAGTTGGATGGAAGTACCAGGTTAGTATAATTAACCCTCCTCAGGTGTGTTAAGGACCTGGTCAAGCAAGATAGCCTGAAATAAATAACTGAGTTCAAGTAAAAGATTTGAGCCAACCGAAGGTTATATCGAAGTCAAACAAAGCCTGATATAAAGTTCAATTAAACCGCAAGTGGGCGTGGTTACATTGACCACGCCCACTTCCGCATCCATGGGATAGTGTAGCTATCGCTCTCCGGGACAATATCGAGAAAGGCGGTCACGAAGACGCTGGTTATAGGCAGCGAAGTCTACACCCAACAAAACCTAGAGGACTTATCTAGTAGGTATCAATTTTTGGATAGAGATCCGCGGCACCAAAAGCGAGAAACAGGCGAAAAACACTACCTTGGTCGGAACTACTCCCGAGTGTTTCTCTGCCAATCCGTTTTTCAATCTCAATCCAAAATTGATACATTACAAACCGATGGTATACCTATCTTTTGCCCCAAGAAATATCGCCGTAGCACACGTCTAACTACACCGCCTCGACCAAGGTGGACTTTACCGCCCATCGCCATCTTTCTAAACAGCGTCACGCAATTCATCGGAAATTAACTCGCGTGTGAGGATCAGCTCCGAGATACCCCAGTATATACCAGCAGCCCCTCTAGCCTTAGCTCTAGTCTCGGTACCAGCCCCTCAGACGGGAGAGAGGGTCTGGTACGACACTAACCAAGCTCTGCTTGGTGCCGGCGGGTCGTCACTCGTTCTCTCGCTGGGGCCTCTACTTGCGGGGACTCGCACCGTACGAGCGCAGCTGGGAGGACTCAGCGTGGCGCACCAACGCATTGACATGAATACCATGGCAACTATGTAGTTTCAAACCGCGGTATGAGTACTCGCGCGACAAACGGAAGGCCCAGTCCTTAACTTACCTGAGTCAGCGCATATGCCAAGCAAAGGTTACGGTACTTGGTCTGAGTGTCTGTCAGTCTGTTACCACGTTTTCTGCCACCACGTGCAACAAACCGGCCAAAAAGCGGCACCAACGGGTTCAACACTACACTGGCTTCATTTTAAATATGGCGATTGTCGTAAAAGTGCTGCGTTCTAAAGTTATGGTGTGAAAACCAAGTCAACAAGCCAATATGCTAGTAACGGCTGCTCCTTATCCATGATGGTCTTGTCATAAGCCATCCTTATCTCACGGCTCTTACCGCTTGCTCTGTGTATCTTGAAAGCACAAGAAGTCACAACGAAGGGCGTGTATCGACTCCTGCATGCTGTCTATTACTGTAGCTAGCCCGTGTCCGACTCTCCGCGAGCTACTAGCGGGAGATCACGGGTAAACGCATACTAATAGCCCAGCCCATTAATTAGCGGTACCGCGCGTGCGCAGTTCGCCGAGAGTTTGCACTTTAGTACTTTTCATTGCTCCTGTAGTGTAATGTAAATTGCAGCTACACCTATCTCAACAAAGGTACCCAATTATGATTTTATAATAATGACCATTCCGCTGCAGTAAAGTTGATAACGCTACTTAGTGGATGTGTCTAAGCTAAGTAAAATGTTCTTAAATGGCGAAACAGGACCTTGCAATTCAGCCGTTTTAACAGAGGTTGGACCTACATCTATCTCGTAGACAACTATCAACTTCAGAGTATCAAAACTCGCTTGTCGATCTACTGTTAATTTGAGCGAGCATGAAAAAATATTAATAGGGAATTTCGTTTAGAAAATTTCAAAACACAACTTACCTAACAAGGAGCTACGAAATTAAGGGTGAAAAGTGCACAATATTCATGCTGGCAATTTATCTCGAATTTTATTTTTGCCGTCTTATGCCTGATTTCTGCATGTACGGTTACATTACAGAACACAAGATGGGAAAGCAGTTGGGGGAAAAAAGTACAAAAAAACAGCATAAGACGCAGGGGCTACCCTAGAATTTTAAAGTAGAGTGGCACAACGTCTGGTGTAGCACAGCCTCCACCCACACTACAGAGCCCGGTAATTAAGAAGTGAAACTTGATAAAGTACATAAAGTATAATACACATACACACATCATGAGAATGTACCAAGGTGAAAGTTGAAAATTTGTCAACGATTTATAATGCACCTTTGTTTGAGGTTTTCCCACCTTTCTACTACTGAATCAAAATCAAATTCTTCTAGAAGTGGTCCCTCAATAGAAATGCAGTCAAGTAGTGCTTTTTGGTTTCAGCTGTACCATTGAAGAGATCTGATGTTCAAAAATGCTGTTTTGATGGTTTTTGTGGCAGTCACATAACGAGCATATATACTATGACCATTTCACTTAATACAGCCACATCTGTGCTCTCATCAATCATTAGAGAATAAAACATGCTTGATTTCAGCTCTTGCAGCTGCTTATCTTCAATCTGCCTCGCTAGGACTTCCAGAAATTCTTGGATAATTCTTTGCCTTTTGTACTTAGCGTTTTCTCCTTTGTAGAGATGCTTAAAATACTCACATCCCATAAGTCCAACAGCATCTACTAGGCTACCATAGTTTTTAGTGTGAGGTATTTCAGAACGCACAAGCCAATATAGACACTGCATTGCACCCTTCACAGCTTTCTTCTCAAGGCAGACCTCTAACTCTAAAGCCTGAGCAATACAACCATCACGCTCTGCTGCTTCGCGGTATATTTCCCTCTGTATAGCATCCTGATGCTGTATAGATGTTGAGTGACGCCGAACGTCTTTACGTAGAGGCGCACAAGGTGTATCGCTCCACACAGACGACTTGTTGTACTTACTTTTAGTACTGTGCTGCTTGCACACAGAACACAGCATACTTGACACTGTTTCCTCGGTGTAAACGGGCACAAGCCAAGAAAATTCGGTCTCCCATGCTTTGTTGTAACCCACAATGTGTTTTCCCTTAGCGCGTTTCTGTTCCGGTTGTCTGTCGACGCTCTCGACATCCCTCGAGAACTAGGCAGTTATATCGTTCGATCGCTTCCCCATTAGTACTCCGTTCTTTCGTGAGGACCCGGATGGCTTTCAACCAACAGCCAGTAGAAGACACGTGTACAAAGTTCAAAGTGCATTCACTGCGAATGTGCAGTAGCTTTCGCCTGAAAAAGTAGCGCCACTCTTTAGAGAAATCCTGAAACGTGTGGTACCGTTCCCTCTGTTCATGTCCGTGTGATCGTGAATGAAGTCCAGCCAGGCCAGAGGCAATGTCTTTCAGAGGCAGCTTAGAATCACGCTAGGTCAACAAAGATGTTATGGGCAGCCCATCAGTAGATGTGAGATGTTGGAACAAAAAAGGTGGCCAAAAGCAGTGTAATGCGTGCTTAGTAGGCCTAATTGTATAACTATCATGAGTTAGCCAGCCTGGCTGGCTAGCCAAGATCTAAAAGAAAGTGCACTGCAACATACATCCGGTGCACACCTTCTCTGTGCATAGAGACAAACGCACTCAAGGCGCTTCACCACCAAGGAGAGTCAACAGAGACTTCACGTAGGAAACCTTTACTATCACAGCTACGTTGCTAAGACTAACCGGAATTCCTCTTCCTATTCATTCCTGACTGTGCCATAGCACAGTGGTTTAAGGTTTGCCTTGTGTTGTGTTGTCGATTTGAACCCCTACCAGCTGAGTTGCCCTGGTAGCTCAGTTGGTAGAGTGCTCACCTAGACTGCAGTAATTCGAATCCCACCCAGGGCAGCTCTTCTTCTTAAAAAATAGAGCTGTCCTGGGTGTAGTTGACTTGTTTGCTTTGCCTTGGCCTTTCTACCTCATTACCAAGTTGCTGAGACATGCACTCTGTTTTGAGTTAGGCGTCTTTGGTGGTTTAATTACCTCGGTCTACTCCTACATACTGAGTGAGAGTATACTGTGCCATAGCACAGTGGTTAGTGGTTTGAGGTTTGCCTTGTGTTGTGTTGTAGATTCGAACCCCTACCAGCCGAGTTGCCCTGGTAGCTCAGTTGGTAGAGTGCTCGCCAAGACTGCAGAGTGTCGTGGGGTTCAAATCCCATTCAGGGCAGCTCTTCTTCTTTTCTTTGAAAAACAAAGAGCTCTCCTGGGTGTAGTTTATTGTTTGCCGTGCCTTTCTACGTCGTTACCAAGTTGTTGAGACATGCATTTGTGTCTTACCACTATTCTCGCATTACTGGCTTCGAGGCTGTTAATTAGTAATACCAAGAGCTTCAGAGCTATGAGGGCATCGATATTTTAATTTTGCTGAAACCATAGCATTAAGAATTATGACATGAAACAAGCAAGTATGTAAAATTTGCAGTTGCTTAGGCCACTTAGTGTTTGCTCATATGGAGGGCACGAACTTTGTGTCCCCTGAAGGCCTCATCGGGTCCCGTGATCATAAAATGCTATCATAATAGTAAGTCGAGACTCTTTGAGATATTCTGGCTTTGCAGGATGTTGTCAAAACCCTGGAAGAAAAGCGGAAGGCTCGTGCTACTGAATGGTACCTTCAGAAGAAGCGAATGACTGTGAGTAGTGCTCAATATAATATTGTGGTGTATTATTTTGTGTTCTTCCAGCGGCTGAAAGCTAAGGCAGCGAAGGAGTGTGCACCCAAACTTGAAAGAATAAACCAGCAGCTCTCAAAAATGGGATATGCTTAAGGACTAAGGACACTTTTGCATTGCAATGTGTGTAAATAATGACAATGACATCTGTAAACTCTTAAGTGGAATTTTCACGTTGACTCGATTTTCCATGGACCAGCAGCAACCTACAATGTGTGGGTGTAGGGGCCTTGGCCCTGCGCACTTAAAACCAGGAACCTTGCAGCACGCAAGGGTTAATGTTCAAGGTTCCTCATTTATATTATACACCAGTAGCTTAGCTACACTTCACTACTGTCTTCCGTCCTGCTTATTACCAAGTTTTAACCCCATGATTCGTGGGAAGGCAATTAGTGCACTTCATTTATATCATTGGCAGCAACTATTCAGGTATGAGTTGTTGTGCCTCTTATTGTCTAATCTACTGCTAATTGACTGTCTTTCTTGGGGTCATTATGCAACGCAGAATACAGGCATGACACATGGAGTCACTGAAAACTCTTCACCAAACAGCCAAAAAATGTTACTCAATGCAGTAAAATTTGTTGCTATGTCACAAAATGATATATAATTATAGCAAGTTGCAACTATGTGCAAACATGGTGAGATGCCTTTTAGTTTTTGATTTTTGCAGAGTTTACCCATCAGTCCAATTGAGAAAAAACTATTCTGAACTGCTCATGTGCCATAGCATTGGTTCTAATCCGACATTTCAGTTCTTTATCCTCTCGATCAGATTGGAATCCTTTGTATTTAAGTGCATAATGCCCAGGTGACAAACCTGTAACAACTTGTGATTTTGGGGGGTAGCATAAGTAGCTTCTTCTTGTTCCAGCCATTTCCTTCTTCCCTCGTTGCCGGGCTTCATATTTGCATGGCAGTGATAACTCATAACCAACATAAACAGCCAAAATTATAAGCCAGAGGAGATGGAAAATGTGAAATCCAACACCCACAACGTAGAAACTGTCTTTATAGAACTCCAGGGACGATACGGGCTTTTCAGTGAATGGAAACAAAAGGTGGTGCAGAAAATAAAACATTTTCCAAGGTAGAAGCTCCAATACAGTCAATTTAACACTAGGCTTCATTTTCCCTACCCATTGCTTAGCGACTGGTAGACCAATGCATATCAATATAGCTGAAAATAAGGGAAAAGAATAAGACAGGTTGTTTAGATGGCATATAATTTACTTGACAGAAATCTCTGTAATACTCCAACAAACACTGCAGAATTTAGCACCACCTTCCATATCCAACTCTCAGTATTAGTATTTTGCATAACTGTGCTAGCTTGCTGCAACAAGCTGTACGTGGAGAGTATACCCAGAGAAAACAATGCAGCCATTAGTTGAAGCATTAGCACAGTACCACAATGCTGAAATTGCCTGAAGAGAATCTTCAGTTGAAAGTTATAAACCAGCTTCGTAAGGTAATAGCAGCACACAAGAGATACCAAAAGGACAGCAATCCAGATGCCTCCTTGCGCCAACTCCTTATTGCCCAAATCAGTAGCATACGTGACCCCAAAAACTAGTAGTGCAGACATAAGGATCTTCGCAAGGACTCCATGTCTGGTGAACATGAACCAGATTGTGCGTCGCAGAGATCCCACGCAATATGGATACCCTAGTTCAGGGTAAAAAGCACACGCATACTAACGCGGACAACTTTTAACTTACGTGGAAAGGCTTCCTGAAAGTTAGACTTCATGGCATGTAACTTTCTCTAAAAGGAGCACAGCAACACCACGCACGCACATGGAGATGCAAAACTGTAAATCATGTGACAGCTTTTTGCATTGGTCAAATCACGTGACAGCTCTAAACTCAGTGACTCGGTCCAGTACTTTAGTAGATTGGGTGGGCTTCTAGTTGAGACTACATTAGAGTGAGTTTTTAGTGCTAGAGGTTAGTATTGTGCATGGGTGGCGGTTGTGATGGTTGGGTCGTAGTGCACTTTTATTTCTACTACAATGCGATCAGTGCTTGTAGAGTTCATAAATTGACTGAGTTGCCGGTTAACCGAGTTCGAGTTGCCTGTGTTTCTATATACCAACAGAGTTGACAGTGAAAGTTTGACTGAGATGTATAATATACCACCAAGTTTTCTTTATTTTTAAGCTTTTATTGTTCATAAATCCACAAGGTGTCAAAGCTGCTGTTGACGTTGACGGTGATCAACTGTTGACACACAGCGCAGATGCTGTAGTGGCAGTTGACATTGCTGACTGTGTTGATGCTGTTGACTGTTTTTAGTGAATGATGTAAAGAATGAGGACAATTTGTGAAGGGATTCTCTAGATGACCAAGAACGCAGCATTGTGTAACTGAAGCAAACATGGAAGTCTTGACTGCACTCAATGCAGCTAACTCCCGAACAGTGGCAGAGAGCTTCGATCCTGTGCAATAGTAGTTGGCACTCACACAAGACAGAGATGTTTTGCACATCTCAGAGAGATGGCAAAAAGAGCAGTGTGTGGCAGGTGTTACGTATGTCACCTGGCTTTCAAACAAAATTAAATATGCAAAGACATGAAAAGTCTATTTATAGCATACTAGCCACAGAGAATAGAAAAGAAAACCAGAAGTCACCCTCCACCCCCCATCCTCCACCCATACACAGGTGCCCAGCCTTGAGAACTGGGGCGGTGGGTTAAAGAGCCTTTTATGGCATGCCAACTCTCCCCACACACCTAGTGTCCAAACCGAAAGACAAACAATCACAATGACAGTTACTATACATAGGCAGTAGAAAGATATATTTGCATGTCCATGTGACGATAACTGCTGGTGTCTGTGTGTGGAGGAAAATCGTGAAACCAGGCATCGATAATCAACACTGTCAACTCTGCCAACATTGTAAAACTCATGTTATGAGTAGTGAAGTGGTGACAACATAGGGCTTGTGTGGAAAAAATGACAAGATCAAACAATGTCCGTTTGATAATAGCTATCATCCACCACTGTACTACTGCATCACATGCACTAGGTCATCGTGTCTCCTTGGCATCCCTATATTCATCTCTTTTCTAATCCGTAGAATTTTTATTTACTTGTATCCTCAACTAAGATACAGACAGGAGTATTATGATTATTTTAACAATATGACAGGTGAGTGATTAGAAAAAAAGTCAGGCAATTATTGTACATGGCAAACAGAAGAGAGTTGTGTAGCAAAGTGTTCAGAGATCATGGATCTGAGGTCTTCAATTTTGTGTCGGAGGCATTTCACCTGAGCAAGTCGTGACTCAAAATCTTCTGAAAGATCCTCATCTGATGGTATAGCACGGGCTATAATGGATATTTGCAGAAAGTTGACTGACTAATCATAGTTTAAATAGTGGTGCCACATTGGCAATTTAAATGGTTTTGGAAGAGCTCAAATTTACCTATCAGTAAACTTTTCAGTATGCCAGCTGTTAATTACTCTTTTTGTTTTGTTAAGCATACGCAGGTGAGGCACAATGCAAACAACTACATAAACAGTGGCCGTGTCCGCTGAAAGGAAGAGAAAGGAAGAGAAACTTACTAGAACAAACTGTAACACTAGCAGACAGATTTAGGTCACAAGCTTACAATCAGATCCAAAGAGCATGATTGGGTTTGGTTCCTGTCCCTTGAGTAGCGATATAGAGAGACTAACAAGAGAATCCAACTCCTCAGTACAGTGCGAGAGCTGCAACAAATTCACTTGTGTAAACAAATTCATGTTCTTATTATACATTATTGGCGAGCAAATGCAAGCCCCATCATAAATATCGTGCATTTCAGACAAACACATTGGTAAGCTCGCTCTACTTTCCCTCTTAATTTCAGACCTGCTTACTTAGCTGCATTGTTGTCTACGTATAGGTAAGACGGCAAAATTGGAGTGTCTTCGTGGTTCTAAAGCCCGCGTGGGAGGTTGGAATGACGCAATAGTAACCGAGGCGGAGCCGAGGATTCTATTGCGTCATTCAGCCGACCACGCGGGCCGCAGAACCACGAAGACACTCGAATTTGTCGTCTTACTTGTTAAGAAAATGATGGATAGCCGTACGGTTGGCTGTCGCTCGTCCGCGTACAGCCTTGGTTGGGAGCTGCTCTTTGAGGAAAGCACCGCGGAGGCGAGTTCTCCGAAGCTGATACCGGGCGCAATCCATGATTGCGCCGATGCTGGTAAGTACTGACTATTAGCGGCGGCGTCTCAACTTTTCGACGATAGCCCTGCAGTGGAGAGGCCTCCCGATTCCACACTGGGCACTGTCGACGATGACAGAGAATCACTGCTATTAGCAGCGTCGTAACTGTTCGAGTCAGGGCGAGGTCTGAGCAGTCTCAGCTCGTGATCGTCACTTCTGGACGCCCCGGTCTGCGCGTACTGTAAACGGAAGGGTCTTAGTTAGAAGTAAGCCACCTAACCACAGGTGTCTTATCACTAAGAGACCTGCGTGTAGGTGTCTTAGCCCAAAATGAACCTCATTAGCTATTCATTTTCAAAGCATTCTTGACATACCATTTTCTTATGGAGGAAAAACATTTAAGTGCAAACCCTCGGTGCAGAACCATGTTCCTGCAGCATCTCAAGCATAATAAATTTCACCAACACTTGGAAATTAAAATTAGGATAGCTATAGTCATAAAAAAGTGGCGTAAAAAGGATTCGCTAACAAGAATCAAACTCGCAGTATCCGATGGCAGTGCATTCATCGAAGAGCGTTTATACCGCAGCCAAAGTAATGGAGTTGGTGGTGCTGAGCTCGTTTTATCCACTTGATCCTCATGTGCATACTATCATAAAACGCATACGTGTCTATTTTGAAAAAGAAAAAATTGGGGAGATACCTGCCCGCGGTAAACAAAATACACTAACTTTTAGGTAAGCGAAAACGGCTATATTTTGTTCCTCATCATACTCAATAATTTAGTGTCATTTGTTGCACGTGTCATAGCGAGAGATGCGAGATCAAGCAGAGCAGACAGACAGACTTACAAACTAAGTACTATAACCGTCTGCCACATGGCGCGCCGAGGGTTAAAAAGTGTGCCATATCACATGTGGTACACTTCATTATCAGGTAATAATTATTATACGAGTAGTAGTTGCCAGCTGTCTGGGCTTCCCTCTTGACAACAAAGAAGCAAACTTGCGCAACACTGCGCTGCATGCAGGCAAGGGACAGCTAGCTAGTCGCTTTGTAAACGGCAACAAATTAGTTGTTGGCTAGGCTTTCCCTTGTGAACCACATGGGTAATGTTGGGACAGTTGTAGTGTGAAACATTCGGGCCTGCTGCCCTCTGGCATTACGTCACATATGTGGCAACATATCCCATGTGCCCAGGCAACAAGTCATAAGTCCTAGGCATACATCTATTACCATTCAAAGTATATACCTAAGCCACAAAAGTCATGAAGGACCCTAGTTACACAAGCAAAAACAATACAAGAACAAATGATATTTGAAATGTAAAGAAATGTACCTCAAAACGAAGTTGTTGTACAGCAGAGCTTTGAGCCTCAGAAAGACAACTTGATACTTTTAATGCCTGTAGTATCAATGGCTGTTAGTATGCTTAAATTTTCTGGTTGTTGTATAGTATACTTGTACAAAGAATGGCATCTTAGTGCTAGCGGTTTGCTTTTGCCTTGTATTGTGTTGTACTATGACCTCCGCCAGCTGAGCTGCCCTGGAAGCCTCGTTCTCAGGCTTTTTTTTGTGGGGGAGAAAAAAACGGCCTGGTACAATCAGTGACCATCCATCCCTAGAAAGTTGGGGATACTGGATGTCTTTGAATAACATCCATTTATTCACTCAACTGCACATTCTTGAAACACATTAGCAGCAATTACCCACAGCTTGCAAAGTATTATATGCGCACCGTAGAAGCTCTAACATCAGCACAGACATAGAGTGACAGTAGGCCACTAGAGAAGGGTTCTATGTAAAATCATTACAACCAAGTTGAGTTGAACAGGTGATGCAAAAACCGTACGCTGTAAACGTAATTTTTGGGTTATAAAAAAACTTATACGGACATTATACAGAGCATACACAAACAAAGATTGGCATTCCGCCTTTTCATCCCCCTTAAAAACGGGCCTAGGAACAAGGTGGAGAGCACTCTACCTAGACAGCAGGGTGTGGATATATCCTGTCACAATTAAGGAGATTCCAATCGTGTTCCGCGTATTTTATCTATGTAACCACAGAACCTACTTACCTCAGCACTTGATTCTTGAAGAGAAATGTTCTTTTCTAACAATTCTTGATTTTGGAACACCAGCTACAGAGAAGGGTGCAGTTACTATGAAACAATGGCTAAAGGGTAGTCATACAGTAAATTCTTGTGTTTCACATCTTACGTACATCTTTAACAGATGTTTTTAGGGCTCCAATTGTTCCTTGGCTACTCTGTAGTTCACTATTAAGGGCCATCATAGCATCCTATTAGGTGAACATAACATCTATATAAATCAAAATATGTTGCATTTAACGATAAAAATGTGACAGTTAAAATTTGACAAAATTTGGTGAGGGTCAAAATACCTAGGCAGTACTACCACCATTGAATGGTGGTAGTACTGCTGAATAGCCTAGGTATTTTTATTTCTCCAATTGTTCTAGCCATGTTCCACAAGATAACTGTTATAATACTCTCCCCCCATACCTTCTTTACGGGAAAGATAACCAGTGCATGAGTTCATCATGAGCACATGGTTCCTCGCCATTATGCGCAGACATATCAGGCCTATCGAATAGGACAGTTGTGAGCATTACATTTGTTCATCTTTCCCGCTCATGGGCCACAATTTTTGGCAATGTACACCTGCGCATTAAAGGCAGAGAATGACACTGTGCATAATATAGAGGAACTGTTGGCTCGTGGTGAAGTCGCACACCCGTTTTCTATCCTGTAGAGATTGCAAATACGTATGTATGGTAAAGGGTAACAAATCCAAAAATACACTCTAAATTCAGCCATTCTATCGAAAATCCGGTGCTTATGCCATGTTCTCAAATAGGCCTTTTGCACGCAACGCATTTAGGAATGGAATTTAATTACGTGGTGATGTCACATACGGTTGCTCTCTAGTATAAAGTCACCTAATGTATTGCGGTGAATGGAGAAATCGGAGCGCGTTTAGTACCGTATATTCTATTTAAACGCACACAAACGGACGGAGCAGTTTTCGCTCGTTCGAATGGTACGCGAGGTGCGAGAATCCGCCGTACTAGCTTCTTCTGACATATTGAGAGTGGTCATGAAAGCTTCTAATGCTGCAACACATAGGTAGGCGATGAAAGGAGGCTTCTGGATCCTTCGTTGGAGTGCTCCCACAAACAATGCAGGTGTGACCAGGCATTCTGTGTTGGTTCTCCGCTAGTACAGCGGATTCTCGCACCTCGTGTACCGCTCGAACGAGTGAAAACTGCTCCGTTCATTTGCGTGCGTTTAAATAGAATATACAGTACTAAACGGACGCTATGTGTTACCGAAGTGCACACACCGATTTCTCTGTTGACAGCAATACATTTGGTGGCTACCTGAGAGCAACCGGATGTGACGTCACGAGAGCAATCAAAATACTTCCGCGCTTGCATGCAAAAGGTCTATTTCGATTCCATGGGCATCGAGGTTTTACAACGACAGAAAGCTAGTTGATAGAACAGCGAAGAACTTCGTGATTAATATTGAATGCATTCTGTAAGGGAGGGAAAAACTTCAAACCCTTTGTGCAGTGTTCTTTCTTTCTTTCTCCTACGGTACACACTGATATAATAGGGCCACGGAATTATTTGCGTGACAGAGTTCCGAGTATTACGTATTTTCTGAACTTTGTGGGTGTAGATGTTCTGCGTTTATGTTGAAGCTGGAAAAGGCGGCTGATCTTTAGCAGCGCTTGGTGGGATCAATGCACAAACAGTGTAGGTGTTAAAGTGCATTATGACAGCACACAATTACGTTTACATACTGTACATGCGCGTGTTTGTACGTGTGCACGAGAAATTAAACGTCTGAACATGTTCAGACGATGAACTCCAAAGCACTTTGCGTTCCAGAATTTTTAAATGTACGTACTACTACAATGTAGGAAAAATTGATGCCCATGCAATATTGAAGGGTAAAACCTCCTAAGAGAGACAATTAACTATTTTGTTTGTGATGAGCAGTGTTCACTTTATAGTGTATGTGTCAACGAGGTCTCAAGGCAAAGCAGACAACAAACCACACCAAGGAAAACTCCAAAAAAAGAGATGCCCTATGCATGATGAGAACCCACAACACTCCGCAGTCTAAGTAAGCTCTCTACAAGCCTCTCTTAGCTGGTAGAGGCTCAAAACTACAACACAACACAGGACAAAGTCACAGTAGTATGTAGGTGCAGACCACAGTAATTAAACAACCACAGACACCCAGCTCCAAAATTGTATGGATGTGTCACAAACGAGGTCTCAAAGCAAAGACAAAGCATTACAACACAACTACACCCAGATTTCTTGGGCTGGTTGCTGTCCTGTTGCAAGAATGTGTACAGTGCAGAAACAACAGCCTACATGCAAGAGAAAGGATGGCTATCTACTATATGGCAATCAGCAGCTGCTCGCTCATCTACAGCCAACTAACTACTGCTTTGTCAGGCAGCTTCTCGCTTGAACTCATCAGCCGTCTTGTCTGCTTCCCTTTGATACGCTCGTGTAGTGTGCCATCAATTGTGTACAATGAATTATAAGAGGGAAAAAATTACTGACCTAACAATGCTTTTGAATGTGAAATATTAGATATAGTGCATGTTTCAGTGATGTGTTAGAGAAAAAGTAGGAATACACAATGTTTTGATGATTATGAAACTTACATAATTTTTAGTGAGCTGGGACTCAAGTGCTCGAGCTCTTTTCGCTAGACTCTTGTACTGATTGCGTAGTTTTGCTGTTGCTTCTACAAATCTAGCCCGGTGTCTTTCTCGCATGGCTTGTAGTTCTTGCCTGCAACGCCGTTCTGCCTCCACTATCACCTGTGGGCAAAGCTTGATTCAAGTTAGTGTACACACTCAAAAGTAATAAAGTATTCAGCACACAAGATTCCTTCGTATGACAAACCAATATGCACAAATTACTTTTTGGGCTATTTTTGCCTGTAAAACTGCATGTTTATGCAAAAGAATATCTACGTTTTGGGTACAGATTTGGTAAGTGTTAAGAATTGTCAATGTTTGCAGCAATAAATATGCATGCACAAAGCAGGCATATGGTAGTCGGTCCTCCCGTACATTTGCATAGACTGCAAAAGATGCAAACATGTGCAATTGTGCAGGTCCTTTTAGTAGCCTTAATCCGTTTTGAAAATGTTCCACACAACCCCTGAGTTTAAAACTAAACACGCAGAACACAACCGAGCACGTATGTGAGCTGATTTTCCTGTCCCACAGAAATGTATGGCAGCAGTACGAGGAAATACGACAAATTACTGTAGCATGAAAAAAGCAAACCTTTTTAAGATGTTGGCATTCCTTTTTTAGCATCATATTTTCTGGCTCTAATATGGCTATGCTTTGCTTATGTGTCTCCAAGCTTAGCCTGAAAACATACATCAAACAAATAATCAACACACCCATAATATATGACAAATCATACCTTGCGTCCTCAAGTTCTCTTTGTATGCACTCTTTTGACTGTACTAAAACGTCCTACACATACATACAACATATTCTAACCAGTCATTAAGAAAGCAGGTAAATAGTTCCTAGCTGGTCAGCTAATCAATTTGTAAAATGAACAAGGTTTTGAGTGTGAATGAACCAGTGAATGAACTCGTTTTGCAGGAGCAAATACATATGGCCAGGTTTGTTACGCAAATAATATGTGGGGACAGAAGATAGTATAGACAACTTTAAGCGGGAAGAAAGAGTGGAGAATCTTTGGCTACAGCAAAGTGTATTCGACCAACTCATTGCGGTACCAAGCTATAAATTGAAAAAATTAACAGAGGGAGAGCTGAAGGTATGTATATGATCTGTTTTACGTATACACCTTTACTTGCATGATGTGACATTCATACACATATTTATAATAAGTAGTGTAAATACCTTTTCACTAGCTCCTCTTAGAGCCTTTTTTAAAGCAATCTCTGCTTCTGCAAGGCGCTTTGCCATTATCTCACACTGCATTTGTATTTCTCGATTCTGAAAAAAGAAAGCACGTCCATACAATGATTTATACTTGAGAGCCCAAAAGAGCTAAAACCTAAGACAGCTTTGTCCATACATAAGATAGATGCTAAATCTTGGAATAAAACAAATACGCACATCCCAGCAGGCAAAAGCATGCAGTTCCATAAAAGTATTTTGGAATGTAATAGCGGGTCAAATAATTACTGGCTTCCAGTCAAACCTACTCAGGTCTGTATTTGACTGTCTGTCTGTCTGCAGCTCTTCTCACACTGTCTGTGAGCTGGCCTAAAAGCGATACCATAATCGTCAGAGCCTTACCAGTGTGAGTAAAACAAACAGGTGATTTTCCTGAAACGGCTGCATTGAAGAGGTATATATGGACGTGAAACAAGCACAAATGCCAAAAAAGGCATAATCAGCCCTGGCTTACCTCAACAAGGTTTAGCACACCATTGGAGGGATAAACTTACTCGAGAGATGTGTATATTATATCTAGTCTAGTATTGCTCAAAATGCCGCTCAATGATGCAGCTATATACACTGTAGCCTGGCTGAGCTAAACTGTAGGTACACCAGTAATAGGTAGCATTTTAGGTATCGTGGAAATCGATACTTAAATGTACCTGCCATTGAAAACTCTGATGCCTTCACAGTATGCATAATTCACTCAAGGTACTTGTACATATGCCGGGGCTAATTTGCATAATGGCTTGTTCGCTTGGTGTTCATGACCCAATTATCTATGCAGTATGTTTACAAAAATCGCCAAGCACTTTAATCACAAAGGTGTGGATTTGTGGCTCTTTTACTTGCTGTAGCAGTAACGGAGGTAACAGACAGACAGACCGACATAGGCATGTGCGCCGAGGGGTAAGTATGTAATCTTTTGTTTCCCTGAAAAGAATAAGAATAGCAATAACATACTAGCACATGGAGATAATTATTGCACAGTAAAGAATGTAATTCTTCACATGGTTAACCTTTAAGTGTTTAGGTTACTGTTTTTTACAATCTTTTTGCTTAAAATGTACATTTCAAACCTGTGTTTCAAGTGCCTGATGCTCTTCCATGCTAGGCATATGCCCCATGTACTTGGTAAGTCGATCAATCTGGTCACTAAAAAACAAAGACAAAATACATGTACGTACAACCATCGAAGAGCAGCACACAATTGCTCACAACAAACCCAAGACATGGTTGCATACATCCAGGCACCAAAAATAATACTTCCTTTTTCCAATGCTCGTAACTACATCTTACAGTCCTTAAAAAGACTAGTGCATGCGCAATGGACCTATTGCTAAACTTTCCAATGAGAAAGTAGTGCTCAATTGGCGTTTTACCAAAAATGTGTTTAAAGTGCATGGTAAAATTTCTTAATTGCTGGAATTATTAGCTTAAAAGGCTGAAGGGGGTGCGGGTGCTGGCTTGAGACTTTAGACAGTTAATGAAGGTATATACAGTGCTGTCAAAATAAAATCCTGGGAATAAAAAGGATATGAAACAAGATTGGAAAGGGATATTATGATATGGAGCACACTCACACCCCAACCCTATCACACAATCCTGTCTCGCACCTCTCAATATGGTGGAGGTTGAAGCATAGTAAATAGTAGTACGTATATACAGCATTGTTGTGACTTGTGTTTTCAAGTTATAGGTCCTGCTGAAACACATAATGAAGTATGTTTAATGCAATCATGTGTACTAAGTTCAATCTCCAGAAAAACAGGTTTAACAAGCTAATCTGAAACAAAATTGCCTGGGGCTGTTTACAAACGTGTTAAATGTCATAGTAATGCACATGTCTACTCAGTATACTTTAGGAGTGATTTTTACAGAAAATTACCGAAGGTTACAAACATGTAAACAAAACTAAATGTCATGTAAATAATGTAGTACACATGTGACAAGTTTCATCTCCATGTTCGCTACTGTTAAGGTTGAGGAGTGAAGAAGTAATTCAGAGAAAGTTCATGCACTTTTTGTTGCTGTTTACAAACCAATGAAATGTCATAGAAATGATGTAATACACCATGAGTGCATTGGTAACAAAGTGTCCAAGGGTTTTTGTAATCAAACTTCAATCACATACTTGTCATTTAAACTACCACACGTGCATGTACATATTGCGTAGGGCTATTTTTGTTAAACAACATGATCAAAAAAGTATGACTATCACATGCACATCAATAAATAATCTTCCAACTCATCATCTCATCTTTCATCTCGTCCAGATATGTACATACATACATTCCTACCAAATTTAATTGCTTTATCTATTTAGTTATGTTTGTTGATAAAGAAGATGATGAACAAAACTCCACCATTACCCCGATAAATCTATGATGCTTAAAAAAGAGGCATATAGGGATTTTTACAGAGACACCATAAGGATGGGATACACTAAGCATGGTAAACAAACCGATTTCAGCACGCTAACACCCCCCAATCCCATCACACAATCACCCCCTATACTGTTGCCTGGCGTGCCACTCTTAAACTCACTTTTGGCTCAAAAACAGTGTTGGTTATTTAGTGTCAGCGTGCTCAAATCTGTTCGTTAACCATACTTAATATATCCCATCCATATCTTGTCCGCTCATTTTCATACATTACTATGCATATCTCTGTAAAAGGGGGCAAGCCCGCTATAAAAAAAAATGCCTGTGAAACATGTGGTCATCATGTAAATGATGTAATATCCATGTGTACAAACTTTCATCTCCATTAATCAGGGAAAATTCCTGTGAAACACTTGGTCATCATGGAAATAATATCCATGTTTACAAAGTTTCATCTCCATTAATTAGGGCTATGGATAGAGTAAATACAGCAAAATAAAAGCAAGCTTAAGAAGTGAAAAAGTTAAAGAAAATTGTGTGAGGCTATTAATTTTGTTGTTTCTCAAAAATTGTGGAAATATTGTAATACGCATGCATACCAAGTTACATCTGCATGCGTTCCACCGTCATTAAGTTTGAAGAGTGAAGAAGTAATTTTAAAGAAAAGTTACTTAGGCTCTTTGTATTTTAAAATGTAGTCATCATGGATATGATAATTATAATACGCATGTGTACAAAGTTTCGTCTCCATGCATGCTACCATGAGAAGTTAAGAAGTAAAGTTTCACAAAAAAGTTCATGAGGCTAGTATCTGTTGGTGTTTACAAACATGTATTGTTAGTGATACTGATGGCTGAATCTTGGGCTATTGTCTGTTGTTTACAGTGTTAAAAAGAATTAAGTGTGAGCATGCACATCTGGTTATGGATATCAAGTTTTGGAGGTATGGGTTTTGTATCTGAGAACTTTCCATACAGTAGTACAATTGATAACGGCTCCATACTTCAAATTGACATTACTTGCTCGTGAAATCTTTCCTCCACAGAAGCCCTATACTGACGCGAACCATGGGAGCCCTTGTATAATGACTCAGCATGAGACAGGTAATGCACAGGTGTTGCCCTCTCTGACAGCTCCTTGGTTATTGAGTTGTGACAGAATAGTTAAAGATATCCATGTTCGCTCAACTAACCAGTTTTACAATGCTGCATTCTTATATAACCCTCTACAGAATCCCTTTGGCGAGTGGCGACAATACAGGGTTTGTGTGGAGGAAAACATTTCATAACCAAGTAATATCAATTTGAAGCTTGGAGCCATTATCTATTGTACTACTGCAGCACATACATTATATCATCCCTGTCTTGTCCCCTTGGTTTTATACCATCCTTACATTCACCCTTTTTTGAATTTGTCTCCTTTCCCTATTTTACTGCATTTACATACATGGTGTGCAGTAAATTATTTTGGGGCATAATGCCCATAAAAAGTAGCATTAATAAAGGCCTATGTGTTTATTGTCTCACTCTGTTTGTCGTCATATACATGTTTGTTTCTACACACAAGTGTACCAAGTTTCATTGCTAGAGGATCCAACATAAGCAACTTATAGGCAAAGCACCACACACAAGTTCTTATTGCCTGAGGCTGTTTGTTGTTGTTTACAAACTTGTAACATTTACTTACGATGGGTTGCATGTGTGTACAAAGTTTTATCACTCTGGGTGTTGGTATTAACTAGTTATCACACTTTATTGGTCTGAGGCTGTTTAATTTCTTGAACCAAGTTTCATTGTTAGAGGATCAACCATAAGCAAGTTAGAGGCACAAACCTGAGGCTGTTTGTTGTTGTTTACAAGCTTGTAATTTCTGTTTCGATGAATTCTCATCATGGTGAATCAGTGTACCATAGTTTCATTGTTAGAGGACCAACCACAAGTATTTTATAGGCACAAACACCATTTACAAGTTTTATTGCCTAAGGCTTTTTGTTGTTGTTTACAAGCTTGTAATTTCTGTTTCGATTAACTCTGATAGTGTACCAAGTTTCATTGTTAGTGGACCAACCATTAGAAGTTAGAGGCACAAACACTTGTTGTTGTTTACAAACTTGTAATTTTCTGTTTCGATGAGCTCTTATCATGGTACATACGTGAACCAAGTCTCATTGTTATAGGATCCATCATAAGCAAGTTTTATGCACAAACACATTTTACAAGTTTTAATTGCCTGAGGGCTGTTTGTTGTTGTTTAAAAACTTGTAGTGTTTACATTTTGATACCAATGATGGTTTGCATATGTGTAAAAGGTTTTATCATTCTGGGTATTGCCATTAACTAGTTAGCAAACACTATGGGGCTATATCATAATGTATGGCCTGGGGCTATTTTTGTTGCTTTATATAATAATAATTATGCTCTTGCCTGTCAATCTTTGAGCAAATTTTCATTTCTGTATCTTACCTGGTTTTTTTTAGATATGCTTGTGTAAATTGAACAACCCACGACAAAAACAAGAACAATTTTGACGCTTTTGCAATGAAGCCATTTCTTAGGTACGTGAATTTTTACAATACAGATCAGACTGATTAGTCAGAAGTGGGATCTGATTGAAAATGAAAGTGAAACTGTGCAAATTTCAAATGCATGGGCATAATGCAGGAAAACCTGTGTCATCTCGGAAGGTAGTAGTGTGTGGCAGGACAGTCAGGTGGTGGGATGACGAGATTAAGCAGAAGATAGAGCAGAGAAGGGAGGCTTACAAGAAAATTCTTGAGGGTCAGGATTACCTATGGAAGGAATATAGTACACTGCGTAGGGAGGTGAAAAATTGAGTTGTTCAGAACAAGCTTGAGGTTTGGAATGAGGTAGTGGAAAGAGCAAATTCAGATTTTGAAGGTAATAGGAAAGAATTTTGGGCATTTGTTGGTAGAAGGACAAAGGGTAAGAAGAGGGGGATTACAGCTTTGAGGAATAGTGCTGGGGTGTCAGTGACTATATAGTACAGAGGGCAAGTTAGAGGTGTTAAAGAGGCATTATTAGCAGTTGGGCACTTGTAGTGTTGATACAGCCTTTGATGATAGTTGAAAGGGGAAGTGGATAAGAAAGTATGTGAGTTTCCAACAGATTGTGTGGAAAATGTATTGCGATAGGGAAATAGATTAGGAGGAGATTGCATTGTGTGTTAGAATAACAAGACTGGTGGTAGTGATGGGCTTGTGGGGAGGCTTCAAAAGTATGGTGGTCAGGGATGGTAGAGTTACTTAAACAATTGTTTACAGTAATTTGGCGAGGAGTTTGTGCCACCGCAGTGGAGAGAGGGCCTCATAGTCAACCCGTTTAAGAAGGGAGATAAGGAGGATCCTGAGAATTATAGGGGCATCACTCTGCTGAGTGCGGTTGGGAAGGTCTTGAACAATAAGCTGGTGAATCATCTGGATGAGGGCAAAGCATTGCATGAGGGCCAGGCTGGTTTTAGGGTTGGAAGGGGTTGTGTTGATAATATTTATACACTGAATGAACTCGTGCAGGGTAGAATAAAGGAGGGGAAGGAGACATATGCTAGATGTGCAGAAGGCATATGATAGTGTGTGGCGTAACGGCCTGTGGTTTAAGTTGTGGGAATTTGGGGTAAGAGGCAAGATGTGGAGGGTCATGATATGCCGTGAAAACAAGTGAAAAAGCCAATATGCATAATCGCACTGGGCTTACTGCGACCTGATCCGCTCGCTCTGTGTACCTTGGGGGCTCAGGAAGTCACAACGAATAGCATGTATCGTCTCCCGTATGCTATCTACTACTGTAACTAGCCCATGTCAGACTCTTCGCGAGCTACTAGTGGGAGACAACGAGTAAACGCATAGAAATAGCCAAGCCCATCAATTAGCAGTATCGCGCATGTGCAATTCGCCGAGGGTTTGCACTTTAGTGCTTTTC